GAGGGCCCGGGTCTCAGGGCGCTCAGGCCGGGTCGCAGGATCGTCCGCCATCGCCGCTGCCGCTGCGCTGGGAGCCGGCGGGGATGGAGCGGGAGGCGTCGCCGTGGGGCCTCGAGCCCCAGGATGTGCAAAGTCCTGACGAAATGGGGAGCCCTGAAGGGTCCCTCAAAGGTGAGGAGGGACTGCCCCTCCGAGGAGTGTACCTGGGAGCGGGAGAAGGGGCTGTGGTTCGTGGGAGAGAAGGAGGGCCTGGGGCTTGGATACCTAGGACTTGGAGGAGGTGGGGGCTGGGGATTGGGCGTCCTGGGTCAGCCCCAGAGGGTGGCGTGGGAATTTCAGCACCTGCCCAAGGGCCAGCGACCCTACTTGTGGAGGGGGTTGGCTTGTGGCAACTGATGGACCTGCTGACCTCTCAAGCCCCACAAAATCTGGGTTTTCTGTAATTCTCTGATCCTGCAGGCAACATGAGTGAGAATGAGGAAGAGGAAATTTCTCAGCAAGAAGGCTCTGGGGACTATGAAGTTGAAGAGATACCTTTTGGGCTTGAACCCCAAAGCCCTGGGTTTGAGCCACACAGCCCAGAGTTTGAACCTCAGAGCCCCAGGTTTGAGCCTGAAAGCCCGGGGTTTGAGTCCCGAAGCCCCGGGCTTGTGCCCCCAAGCCCTGAGTTTGCACCCAGAAGCCCTGAATCAGATTCTCAGAGCCCTGAGTTTGAATCCCAGAGCCCTAGGTATGAACCCCAAAGCCCTGGGTATGAACCCAAGAGCCCCGGATATGAACCCCGGAGCCCTGGGTATGAACCCAAGAGCCCTGGGTATGAGCCCAAGAGCCCCGGATACGAACCCCAGAGCCCTGAATATGAATCTCAAAGCTCCAGGTATGAATCTCAGAGCCCAGGGTATGAACCCCAGAATCCTGAGGTCAAAACCCAGAGCCCTGAATTTGAAGCTCAAAGTTCCAAATTCCAGGAAAGTGCAGAGATGCTTCTGAATCCCGAGGAAAAGGATCCCTTGAACATCCCCTTAGGAGTTCACCCCCTGGACTCCTTCACCCAGGGGTTTGGGGAGCAGCCCACAGGGGGTCTGCCCATAGGGCCACCGTTTGAGATGCCCACAGGGGCTCTGCTGTCTGCACCCCAGTTTGAGATGCTTCAGAATCCCCTGGGTCTGACAGGAACCCTTCGGGGCCCAGGCCGACGGGGTGGCAGGGCCCGAGGTGGGCAGGGCCCTCGGCCCAACATCTGCGGCATCTGCGGGAAGAGCTTTGGGCGGGGCTCCACCCTGATCCAGCACCAGCGCATCCACACGGGCGAGAAGCCCTATAAATGTGAGGTCTGTAGCAAGGCCTTCTCCCAGAGCTCTGACCTCATCAAGCACCAGCGCACCCACACGGGCGAGCGGCCCTACAAGTGTCCCCGCTGTGGCAAGGCCTTCGCTGACAGCTCCTACCTGCTTCGCCACCAGCGCACCCACTCAGGCCAGAAGCCCTACAAGTGCCCGCACTGTGGCAAGGCCTTTGGCGACAGCTCCTACCTCCTGCGGCACCAGCGCACCCACAGCCACGAGCGGCCCTACAGCTGCACCGAGTGCGGCAAGTGCTACAGCCAGAACTCGTCCCTGCGCAGCCATCAGAGGGTGCACACCGGGCAGAGGCCCTTCAGCTGTGGCATCTGCGGCAAAAGCTTCTCCCAGCGGTCGGCACTTATCCCCCATGCCCGCAGCCACGCCCGGGAGAAGCCCTTCAAGTGCCCCGAGTGCGGCAAGCGCTTTGGCCAGAGCTCCGTGCTGGCCATCCACGCCCGCACCCACCTGCCGGGTCGCACCTACAGCTGCCCCGACTGCGGCAAGACCTTCAATCGCTCCTCCACGCTGATTCAGCACCAGCGCTCCCACACGGGCGAGCGGCCCTACCGCTGCGCCGTGTGCGGCAAGGGCTTCTGCCGCTCGTCCACGCTGCTGCAGCATCACCGCGTCCACAGCGGCGAGCGGCCCTACAAGTGCGATGACTGTGGCAAGGCCTTCTCACAGAGCTCCGACCTCATCCGCCATCAGCGGACCCACGCGGCCGGCCGGCGCTGACCTGGGGCCCCGCGAGGCTGGGAGCTGTGGGCGGGAGAGAAGGGGACGGGGAGCTGGAGAGACCTTCAGAGAGGCTGGCGGGAACGCCGGAGGAGCGTGGAGTCGAGGATTCCGGAGAAGAGGGCCAAGGGGGAGGAAGTGGCATGCCCTGGAGACTTGCGGGAAATGGGCTACGGCGAGGGGTTGGAGGGAGGCCAGACAGGCAGCAGGAGGCTCTGGGAGAGATCCAGAAAGAGGTCAGCAGAGAGCTGGCCTCGGCAGCATGCTCCTTGGGGGTGCCTGGCTGGCAAAGTGCTAGAGCAGGGTGGGGGGAGGGTGAGGGAGGGTTACTAATTAGACTGGGGTAGCTTAGACTGATAGCTGCTGAGACCCTCGTTGAGTCAGGAGCGGTGAAAGGGTAGGCGGGTGGGGAGTGGGGCCTGGGCTGGGGCCTGGGCCTCTGAGTGCAAACCCCAGCCTCCCTTGTCTTCCTCAGGCGTTGGAGCCCCCGAGTTTGAGTTCAATAAAAACCTTTATGTGGTAAAAAAGACTTGGCCTTCAAATGTGTGCATGGATAGTGCCATAACTGTGAACAGCCAGTGATGCCCTAGGGCTTTATCTGAGAGGTGTCTTTTTTCTTTTTTTTTGAGTTGGAGTCTCGCTCTGTCGCCCAGAGTGGAGTGCAGTGGCCGCTTCCGGCCACCGCAGCCTCGACCTGCTGGGTTCCAGCGATCCTTCCGCCTCAGCCTTCTGAGGAGCTGGAACTACAGGCGCGTGCTACCACGCCTGGCTAATTTTTGATTTATTGTAGAGATGAAGTCTCACCAAGTTGCCCAGGCGGGTCTTGAACCCATGGGCTCAGGCAATCCACCCACCTAGCCTCCCAAAGCTCTGGGATTACAGGCTGAGCCACCAAGCCCGGGTGGTGCCTTTTTCTTGTCGGAGACGGAGGTCTCACTATGTTGACACATGCCACCACACCCAACTGGAAGTGCTTTTCCTTTTTCCTTTTTTTTATTGAGTCAGAATCTAACTCTGTCACCCAGGCTGGAGTTCAGTTGCACAATCAGGCTACTGCAGCCTTAACCTTATGGACTCAGGTGATCCTTCCACCTCAGTCTTCCAAGTAGATGGAGCTACAGGTGTGTGCCACCACACACAGCTGATTTTTAAAATTGTTGTAGAGATGTGGTCTCACCAAATTACCCAGGCTGGTCTTGAACTCCTGGGTTCAGGCAATCCTCTCATCTCTGCCTTCTAAAGTGCTGGGGTTACAGGTAAGAGCCACCACGCCTAGCCTCTTTTTCTTTTTCAACTGAATTTTTATAAGACAAGTTTTCACTATGTTGCCCAGAGTGGAGTACAGTGGCTATTCACAGTACTGATCCCATTAATGATCAGCATGGGAGTTTTCAACCTGGGCTGGTTCACCCCTCCTGCTATTTTCAACCTGGGCTGGTTCACCCCTCCTTAGACAACCTGGTGGTCCTCCCACTCCTGGAAGTTTACCATACTGAGGTTACCATACTGATGCCAAACTTAGTGCAGACACCTGATAGGCATATCCCATGACAACCCTGAATTCCTGGGCTCAAGTGATCCTCCCATCTCAACCTCCTGAGTAGCTGGGACTATGGGTGTGGTGGCCACCTGGAAATGCTTTTATATTCAGTGTTTCACTGGAATCTTATAATTCTGAGGCTCAGAAGACATGATTTGCTTATATCTGCCCAAGTTCATGTCCGACGCTTTGAATGCTGCACTCTACAGAGGGGGGCCAGTGTGGGAAGCGTGAGAAAGCCCTCAACTTTGTGGAGATCCTACTTCCTAAACGGAGGGTCTGTTCTTGGGCCAGAAAATACCCCGATTTTCATATCCAGGCCTAGGGCATGTTTTCAATCTCTCCCTGGCTCCCAACACCCAGCAGCCCACTCCTCCCCCCAACTGGGGTTTCTAGCCACCACCTTGTGCAGATCCTGACTCAAGACTCTGAGGCCAGAGCCACAGGAGGTGTCTACAGCTTCAACTCCACCATACTGAGGTGTGTAGTTGACCAGGTGTGAGGATCGGACAACTGCTCAAAGCCCTAATATCCTCTAACCAGCTGAGCCTGATTGCCACAGCTCTGTTCCCTTTTTAGATCCCCTGTAACTTGGTGGGACCACTCTGCCCTTACCACAACTCTATCTTGATTTCCTCTCCCATCCAAGCCCTTGCCGTCCTAACACTTGGCCCCTCAGGAATCGTAGGTGAGGAAGACAGGCCACACCTTGGGGAAATCACTTGGCTGCCCAGCACAACATTTTTTTTTTTTTTTTGAGTTGGAGAGTGTCCTGGGCAACAAGAGATGCCCTGGGGCCTTATCTGGAAGATGCTTTTTTCTTGTTAGAGACAGAGGTTTCACTACATTGGCAGGTGCCATTGCACCCAGCTGGAAGTGCTTTTTCATTTTTCTTTCTTTCTTTTTGAGTCAGAGTCTCACTCTGTTTCCCAGGCTGGAGTGCAGTGGTGAGATCACGGCTCACTGTGGCCTCAACTTCCTGAGCTCTGGAGAGTCTTCTGCCTCAGTCTCCCAAATAGCTGGGACTACAGGCACACACCACCACACCCACTTAATTTTTTAATTAATTAATTAATTAATTATTTTTTGAGTTAGAGTCTCACGCTTTGTCGTTCAGGCTCATGGCCACTGCAGCCTCGGCCTGCTGGCTGGCTCAGGCAATCCTTCCACCTCAGCCTTCAAAGTAGCTGGAACTACAAATGTACGCTACCACACCCAGCTAATTTTTGTGATGTATTGTAGAGACGAGGCTCACCAAGTTGCCCCGGCTGGTCTTGAACCCCCGGGCTCAGGCAATCCTCTCGCCTCGGCCTCCCAAAGTGCTGGGATTACAGTCTGAGTCACTGCACTTGGCCTTTTTTTATATTTTTGTAGTGACAAGGTCTTGCTATGTTGTCCAGGGTGGTCTAGAACTCTGGGGCTCAAGCAATCCTCTCACCTCGGCCTCCCAAAGTGCTGATATTATAGGCATAAGCCACAGCACCTGGCCAGTACTTTTTAAGAATATAAAAGGATCCTGAAACTAAAGTGTTTGAGGGTCATTGATTAAATATTTATTAATTTATTTGTTTATTTATTTATTTATTTATTTTTGAGTTGGAGTCTCATTCTGTTGCCCAGACTGGAGTGCAGTGGCACACTCACGGCCACTGCAGCCTTGACCTGCTGGGTTCAGACAATCCCTCCGCCTCAGCCTTCCAAGTAGCTGAAACTACAGGCATGTGCCATCAAGCCTGGCTAATTTTTTGATTTATCGTAGAGATGATGTCTCGCCAAGTTGGCTAGTCTCGAACCCCTGGGCTCAGGCAATCCTCTGGCTTCCTCTCCCAAGTACTGGGATTACAGGTGTGAGCCACCATGCCTGGCTCACACTTTTTTTTTAGTGTCACAAGATATCACTTCCTCAGAGATACTTCCCTAATCACCTATCTAAAGCAGACTTTTCCATCATCTCCTAACTGGTTATCCTGCATTATTATTTTTTTGAGTCAGAGTCTCACTCAGTCGCCCAGACTGGAGTGCAGTGGCCCCTCCCGGCCACCACAGCCTCGACCTGCTGGGCTCCGGCGATCCTTCCGCCTCAGCCTTCCGAGTAGCCAGAATTACAGGCGTGCACTACCATGCCCAACTGATTTTTTGATTTATTGTAGAGATGAGGTCTCGCTGCCCAGGCGGGTCTCGAACCCGCGGGCTCAGGCAATCCACTCACCTCAGCCTCCCAAAGGTGCGGGATTACAGGCTGAGCCACCGAGCCCGGCTTATCCTGCATTATTTTTTTGTGGTCCTTATCACTACCTGAAATTGTATTTATTTATTTATTTCCTTCTTTCATCTTTATTCATTTTTCTTTTTCTTTTCTTTTTTCTTTCTTTCTTTCTTTTTTTTTTTTTTTTGAAACAAAGTCCTTCTCTGTCACCCAGGCTAGTGTGCAGTGGCACAATCATGGCTCACTGCAGCCTTAACTTCCTGGGCTCAGACAATCCTTCCACTTCAGCCTCCTGAGTAGCTGGGACTACAAGTGTGTGCCAACACACTCAGCTATTTCTTTTTCTTTTCTTTCCTTCCCTCCCTTCCTTCCTTCCTTTTGTAGAGACGAGGACTTACTATGTTACCCAGGCTGGTCTTGAATTCCTGGACTCAAGCAATTCTCCTGCATTGGCCTTCCAAAGTGCTGGGATTACAGGTGTGAACCATCATGCCCAGCCTGAAATCATATTTCTACTTGTTTACTGTTTTCTCACTGGAGCAAAAACTTCCTGAGAGCAGGAACTTGTCTGTCTTATACATTATTATGTCTTCAGAGCCTAGAACAGGTCTTGACAGAAGCATTCAAGAAATACTGAGAGAATGAATAGAACCTGACTTACGTTTTGAACAGTCATTTCATGTATTTTATAGTTCTGTGATATTCTTGGCAGTTCAACCTTTTTTCCTCTGAGAAAATGAGCCTCACGTTTTCCTGCTGTCTTGCTTGTGAGCCAGTTCCGTGGTTCCTTGGGGGCTGATCCAGGAGAGTGGTTGCTGAGGCTGGAGAGGCTAGCAGGCCTTGAAAAACTGTTTTGGGTCTTACAAGCCACCCTTGGGAATGTTCATGTACTCCCCTGTAGGCAACAGGGTGCTATAAAAGATTACTCCTGGGGGGATCAAAATGTTGCTTCTCACCTCAGGTCTTCTACATATGGACACAGTCACTCAATAGGCATAGATCCTACTGACCACAAGAGGGCAGCAGTGACTGGCCTTTCTGTCCCTTCTAAAGGGGGGATTGCGGGCCATACTCTTCAATCATTGCTTTTAAAAAAGGTGGGGAGGGTCTGTACTCCCATCTTTTTTTTTGAGTTGGAGTTTCACTCTGTTACACAGGCTGGAGGGCAGTGGCATGTTCACGGTTACCCCAGCCTCAATTTGCTGGGCTCTGGTGATCCTTCTACCTCAGCCTTCCAAGTAGCTGGAACTACAGGTGCATGCTGCCACGCCCGGCTAATATTTGATTTATTGTAGAGACAAAGTCTCGTCAAGTTGCCTGGGCTGGTCTCAAACCTGTTGCCTCGGTCTCCCAAAGTGCTGGGATTACAGGTTGAGCTGAGCCCAGCCTGTACTCCCATCTTAATGGATTGTCAAATGCCCTCTAACCTCTTTTCACATTCTGCGTCTCTTCTTGTCCTTGGATCTCTCTCTCTTTTTTTGAGTTGGGGATCTCATTTTGTTGCCCAGGCTGGAGTGCAAGTGGCTTAACCACAGATCACTGCGGTCTTGAACTCCTGGGCTCAAGTGATCCTCCCACCTCAGCCTCCTGAATTGCTGGGATTACAGGTGTGTGTCATCACGCCCAGGTCCTTAAAAAATTTTTTTTGTGTGTAGACAAAGTCTTGCTATGTTGCCTAGGTTGGTCTTGAACTCCTGGCTCCAGTGATCCTATTGCCTCAGGCTCCCAAAGTGTTAGGATTGCAGGCGTGAGTCACCACGCCTGACCTTTTACTCCTCTTTTGAATTAACCCACAATGTCAGGCACAAGTCAGTATCTGAGGGTCATCATTGAAAAAAAAAAAAGGAAAGAAAGGAAGAAGAGCTGATTATTTTGATCCCATTTAGTGAAAGAGTTGAGAAGGCAACATTCATTTAATTACGACTGGAATGTTGCACCAGCATAGAAGCATCACAAAATGGACAGAATTCCACATTTATTGAGTAAATATACGTAGGCATTGTGCTTGGTGCTGGGACTCTGGATAAACAGACATAGTCCCCGCCTTGAACTCACAGTCTCCCAGTGGGGGCACTGCACAGAAAGTGAGTCCTGGGAGAGGCAGTGGAGCCAGGGGAGGGGCAGAGCCTAGGACAGGGACACACGGCCCCATCCACACTTCTTCTATCTTCCCACAGACTCCGTTATTAATTCAGTGAAATTGTGTCAAGCACCTACCAGGTGCCCCGCACATAAATCATTAAACAGTGAACAAACATGACCCGTGCCCTGGGGAACAAGCGCATGCAGTGTGGAATCCCAACCAAGCTGGGCCAGGAGCTTCCCCGAGACAGTGATGTGCCAGCTGGGATCTGTGGGCTGTGTGAGAGCCAGCCAGGAAGGCAAGGGAAGGAAGGTTCTAGAGGGTGAAGGAAGCAAGCCAGAAAGGAGCCTGGCATGTGAGAAGGGCTGGCGTAACCAGAGCTTTGAGAAGGAGATAGGAGGTCTCTGGAAGAAGCTGTGAAGGCACAGGGGCCCTTTTTGCGGGCCTTGGAAGGCATATTAAGGAATTTGGTCTTTGGTCAAAGAGCAAGGTGTTTGCTGCCGTCGTGCAGGGACACAGATCACATCTGTTCTCTGGCAGCAGATTGGAATGCTGACTGGGCTCCAGGCAGGAGTGCAGGGACGAGTGCTGGGAGTCTGAGGCATCTGTGGACATCCAAGGGCAGGTGTGAGGGCTGGGAGCGTCACTAGGCCCTGAGACTACAGTTTCTCCAAATTTAGATCAGACGTTCTCTTCCAGGGAAGAAACTAAGAGAGGCTGGTGGAAGCCAGGACTGTCTGATCATCATCAGACGTCCCCTCCCCTGGTAGCCTTCCTGGCTGATCCTTCAGCAGATTCTCACCATGAGCCTGCAAAGGCAGGCAGGAATGAGCTCCATGTTCAAAATAGGGAACCTGAGGCCTAGGGAGGGGCAATGACTTGTCAAGGACACACAGTAAAATGCAGGTAGAGGCCGACTGGCTCCAGGCATCCCTTGTCCAGTCCTGGGCCTCTGTGCATTAGGCCTGGGTCTGAGCCTCAGTCCTTGCCACCTCCATCCTCAGTCTTCTCCCCATGGAGGGGCTTCAGGCAGTCTGGATCCGTGTCCTCTTCTCCAGACACCAGCTGCCCAGAGTCAGCTCCAGAGATTCCATTTGGGACACCTGCGTCAGCCTCCATTTTCTCCTTCAGGTTCCTCTTGAAGAAGCCAATCTGTATGAAGACAAAACTGAGTGACCAGAAAGTCCACAGAGTACTTTAGACCAGTCAGTCCCAGGAAAATGTGAGACTTCTTTTTATGTCAAGTCAAAAGTGTCACTGTTACATGGCGTCTGCTCTGGGGATGGGGTGAGGGTATCTGCTAGGCTTGGTTCTTAGCAGTATTTTTAAGTCTAATAATTTGACAGGTGTGGTGGCTTACACCTGTAATCCCAGCACTTTGGGAGGCAGAGGCTGGTGGATTACTTGAGCTCAGGAGTTCAAGACCAACCTGGGCAACATAGCGAGACCTCGTCTCTGCAGAAAAAACAAAAATTAAATTAGCCAGGTGTGGTGGCACATGGCTGTAGTCCTAGTTACTCGAGAGGCTGAGGCGGCAGTATTGCCTGAGCCTAGGAGGTTGAGGCTGCCATGAGCTCTGTCTCCAGCTTGGGCAACAGAGTAGGACTCCAACTCTAAAAACAAATAAATACACAAAATAATTCATTATTTTTTTATTTTTAGAGACAGGGTCTTGCTCTGCACCTAGGCTGAAGTGCAGTGGTGCAATCCTGGCTCACTACAGTCTTAAACTCCTGTGCTCAAGCAATCCTCCTGTCTGTCTTCTGAGAAGCTGGGACTACAGACACATGCCACCATGTCTGGGTAATTTTAAAATTTTTTTGCAGAGATAAGCTCCCACTATGTTGTCCAGGCTGGTCTTAATCCTCCTGCCTCAGCCTCCCAAAGTGCTGAGATTATAGGTGTGAGCCACCACACCTGGTCTTCTAATTTATTCTTTTTTTTGTTTGTTTTTGTTATGAGTAGTCTCTGTCACCCAGGCTGGAATGTGGTGGCACACTGACGGCCACCACAGCCTCGACCTGATGGGCTCAGGCAATCCTTCCACTTCAGCCTTCCAAGTAGCTGGAACTACAGGTGTGTGTCACCACGCTCAACTAGTTTTAAAAAATTTTTTAAAATTTATTGTAGAGATGAGGTCTTGCCAAGTTGCCCAGGCTGATCTCGAACCCGTGGACTCAGGTAATCCTCTCGCCTTCACCTCCCAAAGTGCTGAGATTACAGGCATGAGCCACCGTGCCTGGCTAATTCATTCTTGAGGTTCAACAAAATATCATGTATTAATCTTTCAGGCAAGTGATTAGACAGTGTCTAGTAATAATAATAGTAACAGCCAATACATACATAATGCTTTTTATCTACCATGACCTCTCTGTTCAAAGATCCAAACACATATATTCTTTTGTCCAGCAATTCCACCTCTAGATACTAATTCTAAATAATATTTGGACAAGTGTGCAAAGATTTGGGTAATAAGAGCCTTTTTCGTCACATTGTTTGAAATTAGAAACGAGCTCAATGTTCATCAATAGAGAACGTGTTCAATATAAGATGGGGTCATCCAGAAAGCAGAAACTAGTCAGGTTAAAAAGCAAGAAGTACACTGGGAGTGGGGGCTTATGTCTATAATCCCAGTTTTTTGGAGGCTGAAGCAGGAGGATCGCTTGAACCCAGGAGTTTGAGGCTGTCCCACCCTCCCAAGAAAGCAAGAAATAGACCTAATTGTGCTCACATGGAAAGACATCAAGATATAGTAGAAAGTGGAAAATACAAGTTCCCAAGCAGTTATCAGAGTATTATCCTATTTAGGTTTTTTTTTTTCTTTTCTTTTTTTTTTTTTTTTGAGTCGGAGTCTCACTCTGTCGCCCAGGCTGGAGTGCAGTGGCACTCTCACAGTCACTGCAGCCTTGACCTGCTGGACTCAGGTGGTCCTTCGGCCTCAGCCTTCCAAGCAGCTGGAACTGCAGGTGCGTGCCACTACACCTGGCTAATTTTTTGATTTATTGTAGAGACGAGGTCTCGCCAAGTTCCCCAGGCTGGTATTGAACCCCAGGCCTCAGGCAATCCTCTCGTCTCCATCTCCCAAAGTGCTGGGATCACAGGAGTGAGCTACCACTCCTGGCCACTTGCTTTTTCTTTCTCTCATGCTCACATTTACACATATATGTCAACAACAGAATTAAAACCTGGAGGAATATAAACAAAATGGATGTTAATGACAATACTCTTGGGATATAATAGAGAGAAACTTTCCTTTTCTTTTGAGATAGGGTCTCACTCTGTTGCTCAGGTTGGAGTGTAGTGGCATGATCATGGCTCACCACAGCCTTGACCTTCTGAGCTCAGGCAGTCCTTCTGTCTCAGCCCCCTGAGGAGCTGGGACTACAGATGCCTACTGCTATGTCTGGCTGATTTTTTTGACTTTTTGTAGAGATGAAGTCTCACTATGTTGCCCAGGCTGGTTTCAAACTCCTGGTCTCAAGGGATCCTCCCCCCTCGGCCTCCCAAACTGCTGGGATTACGGGCATGAGCCACTGAGCCTGGCCAACTTTGATTTTCTATGTCCTCTTTTCTTTAATATTTGAGTTTTTTTTTTTTGTCTTTATTTTTGTTTTTTTGAGTTGGAGTCTCACTCTGTCACCCAGATTGGAGTGCAGTGGCCACTCCCAGTCACTACCACCTCGACCTGCTGGGCTCCACGATCCTTCCGCCTCAGCCTTCCAAGTAGTCAGAATTACAGGCATGCACTACCATGCCCGGCTGATTTTTTGATTTATTGTAGA